ATTTAAATATTTCAAAATTAAAACTTTTAATTAAATTTTAAATTCCAAAACTTGAGGGCAAATTTCGAAACTTTTTCAAAATATCTTTTAGATCAAATTTAAAAAATAATTAAATATCATATAATTAATATTTATCACATAATTTGAACTAATATATTTTCAAGACAAGATAATTCAAATCAATTTACAAATAATCAATCTTTATCTTATAAAACCAAGTAATTATCTTAAATTGACAATTATCCATTAATTTGATTAGGATATCAATTACCATGACAGAAAATATGATTTTTATTTGAATAAAACAATTTATGGTAATTATCCAAAGCAAATTAAGGAAAAAATGTCGAAATCCTGTTGTCAGACTGGGTTCACAAGGTGAACAGTATGTTCACGAAGTGAGTCTGGTTCAATTCAGACAAACAAAAATTTTCAGCTATGAATGGAAAAACTTTGCATCAAATACATTAGAATAAACCATCCTAGGCACTTATACCACTGATGAGTTTTATGCAATGCATAAATCATATGGTGCTCATGTAAAACCCTAAAACTTTGTATCTAGGTTTATCTAATTTTACATGCAAATAATCCAAAGCTTATAAACCCTAAGAACTAGCATACTAATTTTGAAAATCATATGCAATTAGGGTTAGAAAGTTTACATTGATTTTTATGTAGCAATAACAAATCACAATCCTGCTTGATCTTGACTTCTGAAAGTTTAGTGCCTCAAATGTTGCACCTCTAATGGATTCACAAACACCATTAGCAACAAGATGACTTAGGAGAGGGAGGAGAAGGCACAAAATTTGTCCAAGGTTTTTCCCAAGAGGTTATCCACGAATTTGGTGGCCTAAAGGGTTCCTTTTATAGTTAGGCTTCTTGGGTTATTAACTTGGAAACCCTAATCCAGTTGCTTAGTCCTTAAGCAGCCCAAAGATCCTTCCAGGAGGCCGCTTGGGTGATTTCTATATGGGCTCTCATATAGAATTCGTCCACTGCTTCCTTATGGATCCTAAGCCCAACTTTGTAACTATCTTATAATTATAGTATCAGTCCCTTTTATTTAATTAATCTCTTTTGACCCCAAAATTAATTATAAATTAATTCTTGATCAATACTAATTAAACAATATGATTTCTCTTTTCAACATATTAGTCATATAATATATTAATAAATCATAATTAATCCTCTTTCTCCTTAATTCATCCTATCAGCTGCTATGGTGAAGGCAACCCAAAAGGACCATGCTCATAATCGGTTCAAGTACATACCAAAATAGTTATGGGCTTAGACACCTAATCTAACAGCATGGACCCTCCGGTCTCGTGCGTCTCGGTGTGGACCCTCCAGTCATGTGTCTCAGTGAGGACCCTCTAGTCTCACAGCTCGGTTTGGACCCTCCGGTCCTGTCTCAGTGGAAACCCTTCGGTCCCACAACTAGGGTTGGCCCTCAGGTCTGGTCTCAGTGGAAACCCTCCAGTCCCACAACTCGATATGGACCCCCCTGTCCTATCTCAGTAAACACATAATATAGCATATATATCACATAGACAAAATGCATAATATCACATAACTCAAGTAAGCACATAAGACCCTCCGGTTACTTATACATACCACTCATGGTAAGTATAATGAGAAGACTTACCTCGTAAGTAAGAAAAGAAAACTGGATACCCCTCGAATGGCCTGATCTCCACCTACACGCAATAAGCATCTCTAATTAACTCATAAAGATCACAACGTCATATAACTCACGCTAAACTCTTTCTAACTCTTGAGATGGGTAAAAGACCATTTTACCCCTCCATGGCCCCCATAAACCCTATCTTGACCAAACCCTAAAGTCAAAAGAAGTCAACACTCGAGTCAACTGTCCATGTTGACCCAACTCGCCGAGTGCACCTATGTGAATCATTGAGTACCCGTTGTTCCTCAGAATGTCGCAAAAACCCAACTTAACTCGTCGAGTTTTCTCGTCTACTCGCCGAGTCACCCTTGTCTAGACTCATTGGGGAAAACCCTAGCCGACTCGTTGAGTCAACTCATTGACTCGACGAGTCCCCTCAGTCTGAATTCTCATTCAAACATTTTAACGCAGATCTACTACTCCACACTCTAGATCTAGGCTCCCAAGGCTGGAATGTTACATAGAGCTTCGATCTTTACGTTCATGCATGGCATATTTTGCTCCAAAATGCCAATACAACTCTAACAAGGGTGTTTAAGCACAATAACTCTTATATGGCAGAATAAAGTTGGGACCTTTGGACTCTATGGACCTCATAAGGTATAGATCTGAAGTCTAGACCTCCTGATAGACTCAATGCACTCAATGTCCCAATAAAAAGGTGGTAAAATCCCTAACTTCCATAATCATGAGATCTAACCCATAAGATGAGAAATGTGTAGGTTTTTTACCTTCTACAGAATCTCTGTTTGATATAGCACTAGATCCAATAGTTTCTCCTCGTTCCTTGATGGATACTCTCCTCTTCTCCTCAAAAGATGGACTAGAATACTCAAAGATTAGCTCTATAACCCTCTTAACTCACTACAAACATTTAGGGTTTCACACAGGGGAGTTGGGCACCTGGTGAGGAGGAAATGAGGACATGAGTTCTCTTAAATAGGCCCCAACCCCGGAGATTTAAGGTTTCACCTCATAGCGCCAACTCGGCGAGCCAGCTTTCTGACTCGTCGAGTCGATCATTAAACCTACGTGACCAGATCGGACTCTACTTGATGAGTTAGGCTCACAATTCGTCGACTCACTCATGAAATACCAATAATAAATAAATAAATAAATAAGAAATACATAGGAATCGGGATGCTATAGTTTTCTTGCATAAAAACAACCTGGTACCGAGATTTTGAAGATTTTTCAACCTTTATCTGAAACTTTTCTCTAATGGATTTGAATTTAACAACAAATGTTAGGTCTTTTTTGGTGTTATAGGTTTGATTGACAATTAATTTATCATTCGGACCTAAATGTGAAATGGTCCAGGTTCAAGAATAGGTTTTGGAGAATCAGGAATAGAAGGAAAACAATACAATGGATTAAAAGTCGTTTTTCGTTGCGTGTACTCATCATCCGACCACCATTCATTTGATTTTCCTCACATCTTCTATCATCAATTTTAGGAACTTCTCTAAACTCGAACAAATTTTGACGTTGTAATTCATTCATGCCCACTTTTTCTTCTTTATCATTATCTGATACAAAAGTATCATTATTAGATACAAATTTATCATTAACCGAAACTTTTTTCATAACCCACTGGCACTTCATTTCCTCTTCCCCTTGAACGGTTTCCATGACATTAGCTTTCTCTACGAACTCTATTAGTTTTTGTTGGATTAAACTGGTTGTTAACCACTGCTTGTTCTTAAGCTTCTTCACCTACCACCATTAAATACAAATGCACTGTCTTCTTTCATACAGACATTACATCTCTCAATTGAAATACATCAGTTTCATCTCCAAGCTCCATGACATACCGTAACTATGGGTGTTTAAAAGACAAACATATATAACTATTTAACACACCTGCCTTACTTCTAACCATTTGTACTAACATTTCATGGTAAATGTTAGGAGGAAGATTTAAACCATAGTCATTCACATTATTTCTAATGTAAATCTCATCTCCATTAACTAACTGTCACGACCCTCCCGTACACAAAATAACAAAACTCATTTTACAAATCACTATCCACAAACACAATGAAAAAATAACTTCTACTGGTAATTGAAACTCACGAACTCCCAAAAAACCAAGTAAATACGTCTATAACTTCTATAACTGATCTGCATAGGTGTACCTAATCCGTAGAGGTGTACACTGATCCACACATGTGTACACTAATCCGCAGAGGTGTACACTTACGGGGCTAAGTGATATGTCAAAAACCCCTTACCCGGACTTCCAACGTGGCACCTGACGTGTAATCTTCCCAATTATGCTATTAATTAAAACCCTGATTTGGACCTCATTCATTTCTTTCTAACCCATTCGTGAAAAGTCGAAGCAAGCACCCTCATTTATATAATCAACTTGTTTGATTCTTCAACACAATGTTTGCGAGCTAGTCCAATGCAAGAAATCTCCTCCAAGTTGCTCGTCTGTTTGTTAAAGACGATGTTAACACTTGTGACTGCGACGTTCCAGCTAAGGAACGGACATGCTGAAAGCTAACTAACCCTGACACATGTTTTTGGAACTGCAACAACAGCTTGGTAAGCTTCGATCTAGTTTGATTTGTTAATGCAAGATTTTTTAGGCTTCTTAAATTGAATTTGGTGATTAATGATTATGTTTTGATGTTTTATTCATGTGGGTTTCACATTGACAAGACTGAGGAAATGTGATTACTTTGAATGGAAAGATGTTGCACTGGAAGATGGTTACTACAAAAACCCCATCTATTCCATGAAACAACAGCTGGATTCCAAAGAGTATCTTTATGTCATAAAAAACTTGAGGACTAAGAATGATGAGTTAGAGTCTCTCAAGAGTAAGGAGAAGAGTCTAGTGGCAAGCATGGAGAATGGGATGTGTGATTCCAAGAAGAGCATACGTATGTACAAGATGTTGGTAGTTGTTATAGTTGTTGGGTATGTTTGTTTTGTTTTAAGTTAGCTAATTAGTGTTGGATGTGAAGCTTTTGGTGTAGCTTTTAGTGTAAGATGTATGTATTGGGATGTGAAGGTTTTTCTGTATCTTTTGTAAAGTCATCCTAAAGTAGCTGTTGTAAAATCCCAATGACAATTGGTAATTAGCCTTAATTTCGCTTTTGTTTTATGATTGTTTTGTTATATGTATTATCGTGTATTTTAACTTAATCAAAACTATCCTATACTAGTCTACTATTCCAAATAACATAATCAAAACATAAGCAAAATATTCTTAAAACAACAATCATGATACAATCAAAGTCTACTATTCCAAATAATTTTTGTCATCCTATTACGGTAACTAAATCCCGTATCTCTAGGTGATTGGCATGTCTCCACTAGTACACCCTATGCAAACATTTCCATGAACATGCACACATAAACTCCACAATCTCCTCTTTCTCCTTCTTCTACTTTTTCCTACAGCAACACATGTTTAGCTTTAACAAATTTCACCTTAGTAGGTTTCTGTCTATTAGGAAAATGGGCCCAATATGATATGTGGTCTAGTTCACTTAATATAGTATCTCCTAAAGATTTGAAACTACCGTCACCCGCATATGTTTTAAAAAAACCACACCATTCAGTTGAATCATATATGCTCACTTTCCATGTAAGGAGATCCAAATAAGCCAAATACCAATGCAGGTGCGGTAATTAAAACCTTCAAAAAATGATAAGTTATTAGATATATACAAATTTTATATTTTATATATATATATATATATATATATATATATATATATATATACTAACCCGATCAATATCCTTGCAATGTGGTCCATCACCCATCCCGACTGCTACGCACCTCAAATAATGTTGTTTCCCAGGTTCCAAAGTCGTGCCTTCATGATTAAGAATCGTTCACCTACCAGCCGACAACTTATTTCCTTGAGCAGGGACATCCAGATAACCAAATTCTGCGTGTTAAAAAATATTTCATTTTGTACAATTAATTATCCAACTCTTTTTGTAATATAAAATAAGGGATGAGTGTTACCTTAGATAGCAACCATCTAGAGCCAATACCAAGTAAACTTGACCAAAATTCCCAATTCATCTCAATACCTTTTAAAAGTCTATGCTCCAAAAATAACGCTCACATGTTCTTTCTCCACAATTTCCAAAATTCATTATCATTATCCAGATAACCGTCCAATAGTAATGGTCTTTTTTCTACATTATTGGACTTCTGCGGTTTTTTCTCTTTTTCTGTTCTTCAATGGTTCCATCGACGGAACCTACAAAATCAATATGTTAATTAATTTGGAACGATTATATACTATATAAATAGAGATTACTTAATTTTATACCTGTGTGTAAGGCTCCCTACAAAATTTGATTTCATTTTTATCCGCCCTTTTAATGGTGTAACTATGTTATCCTCAACTTCAACAATAGGCGGTGGCGCCTGCACATACGTATGGCCTGACTCGGGATCCAAACCATGAAAAAATGCTTTCCCCGCATCCACATTTTCCATATTGTTCACACCAAATTGTTTATCTTTTTCCCATTTATCCATTCTCTTTCCAAAGTGCTCGATTGTGGTTTTCAATTCAGTAACAACGCCAAATAACTTGTCTTTTGTGGTATCTTTCTTGAAAATGAGAGGGTGAGGTGTAATCTGCTCCCCAAAAATGAGAGCCTGAGGTGTAGTCCTCCCTGAAACTGAGATGGGTGAGGTGATTGAGACTGCTGCTTAGGAGGACTCTGTTGTTGCGGTCATGGAAACCACTCCTTAGGAGGACTATTTTGATGCGGTGGCGATTGCACTTTGTCTGGAGTCCAACTTATATAACGCACAAAGAATGGCAAATTGATCTCAATAGGTGTTGGTTCAAAAACACGTGTGATGTTATTTTCCTGCAAAATTAAAAAAAATAAATTTAAGTATATAAAATTGTTGTAATTTTTAAATATATATATAATTAATATAAGGAATGTATAACTATACCACTGACACGTCTAATATACGTAAACATTGCTCGAGAGATAATTGTGTTTTTATTCTCCATGCCCTCATTCTTGGAATTTCATTTTCTGTGTGATGCGCAAACCTCAAAAGGAATGGTCTCCAAAATCCATACCTAGTATTACAACAAAAAATTATGCTTTGTCCAAACTTATAAGCAATTAAAAAATATAAGTAATTGCACCTAAAACTAACCTTAAACACAAGCTGAAAATCGAAAATCGTATACTTCATTGTCTTCGTGTAACCCTCACCCTCATTATCTCGTAAATATCTATAGATTTTACCAAACCATAATCGTAATTGTGTTTCACTATACTTCCACAAATACGTACCCCACACAAACATTCGTACTCGTTATAATTAATATAAATCATAAAGTATTTATAAATAAATAAAAATAATAAATTTAGTACTTGTTCCAATTATATTGACTATCGGCTAGCTCATACACTTCCAATGGAATGCACGTATTGCTATCTCGTCCTATGAGACCCCTCAGCAAAAATATCATTTCCATAACCATTACCGCATCCTCATTGCTACACGTAGAGAATGTTGGTCCTTTTATGTAGTCTTCTAAATCTTTCAGCCATAAATCTTCATCTCTCACATTAGAGAACAATCGATTCCTTAATGTTGAACTTGTGCTGACTTTTTTATTTATTATATCAACATACGGTCCAAATCTCAAACCACTAATCAAACAAAATTCAGTTTCACCATATTCTACCACCCTGCCTTGTAACTCGAACTGAAACCTCCCAACCCTCGCTACCTCTACATCACGAACATCATGAAACATCATCAAATCACAGAGCAATGGGTCACCATTCGGGGTGGGTATACCAATAAAGATCCCAAAAGTTGTCTCTCGAAATAATTCAACTCGCCTACTATTTAGTTTTGTAATGTACTTTTTCAACACACTCTCCAACGCGCATCTAAAAGTAGATTTTGTAGGTCATCCACGCAAACTATGCTGCAAAAGATTAAACATATATGCTGAAAATTAAAAAACTAATACTGAAAAGTAACTTTAAATAGCATTGTACTTTTATTTTTATAACATTGTACCTATATATTGTTTTTTTAACAATTTTATGCAACAAAAATAACGTTTTTATTCTATAACTTTTTATACAATAGTCTACGTGAATAATTATCTTTCAAAATAAAATTTCCCTTTTTTTATAACAAATTTACTGGATTTTACATAAATGGTCCCATATATATTATAAAATTTACATAAATGGTCCATTTTAATAATAATTATAGAAATTTTCAAAGTTTTTTTTAATTACTAAAATAATTGAAAATCGATTTTAGAATACAGATAATAAACATAAAATGATCTCAATATTCAATGGTTCATTTTAAGAGATAATAATTAGAGAAAATAGGGAAAAAAATCCGCAGAGTCGTATGTCGTTCCACAGAGGGCTCCTTTGCGGATCTGTTCTTGAGCAGAGACCTCTATGGATCTGTTCATGACGAAAAGAAGGGCTCCTCTACATAAATCAATTTCTTATTTTCAATTCTTACAACCTAACAAACATACATGTTTATATATAACATTTAACCTATCAATTTCCAATTCATATAATCGATTTCTACAAAGATTACTTGAGTTCTTATACAAAAATTAGGAAAAAAAATTACTTGAGTTCCATATCCATCGGATAACACATTAGAGTGTAGTTGCTCCACAAATCGAGCTCGCCTTGACATTTTGTGTTCGTTCCAATCACAATCCGACATCCACAGTAGCTCCCTTCCACGAATCGACTAGACTACCTTCCTTCCGTGGTCAAGTAATGAGGAATGAATTTTTTTCGGCGATTTTACCGATCCGCAGAGGTGTTTATGGTTCCGCAAAACCCCCTCTACGGAACCTTTGGTCATTTTCCGAAACCCTAATTTACATGGTCATTTTCTTCAAAACCCCTCTCATTTTTGGTTATTTACCGAAAATTCTTTTATTATTATTATTATTATTATTATTATTATTATTATTATTATTATTATCAAAATTTGATAGTAGCGTGTCTTCCCTCTTTATAACACTTCGGAGATACACCAGTGTAAAAGATTGATCCCTTTGGATCTTGGTCCATGATGGCCTTTTGATTAATAGAACTAGAAGAGGAGGAAAAGAAAGAGTTTATGATGACCATCTATTTCGGTCGATCATTTCGTAGATCTAATTCAAGGGTTTTTTTTTGCAGTGGAAAGACCTTCAAATCTGAAGTTTGACGCTTAAGCACTGTTTCTGCAGCTCTTGTAACTTATGCTGCTATTCAACTATTAAAAACGAACTTTATTATAAATGTTAGTACTATTGGTGGTTTTAAATTATGTAAGTATTTTTCTTCCGTTATATTTTCTTTCCTAATTTGTTTTTAAGATTGTTATTAACCTTATGAAATCTTCAGGCAAAAGGAGCATGTATTAGTGATGTGGCAACAACTATGAGAATCCCGAAATGTAGACATTAGCGTCATCAAATCACTAGGCTTATCCATACAACTAGCAAAGAAGTTGATCAAAACTTATGAAGAAATGATGCAGACTATTATGAACGACGAATGAATACATCAAATCTAGTAGTATATCTACGTCTTTTGAATATTTCTATATCAGTGTCTTTTGTCCTCATATTCGTTCTACAAACACTTTTGCTCATCTTACTAGCTTCAACTGTTGTAAAAACAAAACAAAAAAAAAAAAAAAAAAAAAAAAAAAAAACAAAAACAAAAAAAAAAATGCAAAACACTATGACTTCCATGAAAATTACTACAAAGAAAAAAAAAACTAAAAAAAAAAAAAAACCTACTGATTCATGCGAACACCCTCTAGTTTACTTTAAACAGGGAAAAACATTTTTGATAAGCATCCTCAAACGCCACTTAAGATTCAATTTATAATATTTATAATATTAAGCCAAAATTAATATTATTTCATATAGCTAGACAGGTCCTTTATATTGATAGAAACTAAATTTATAATATTTCTTTTTGTTTTATTTTAATTTTCAAAATAAATACAAAATCGCAACACAAAAAATCTAAAAAAAATATGATTTCTTGAAATATATAAATTACAGTATTAAAATCTAATAAAAAACTTACCATTCAAAATGGCGATCAATCAAAGTCTAGTGAAAACCGAAACATTAAAAAATCACATCATTAGAAAAACAAATCATTGAAAACATGCATTCAAAAAATTGTGTGTCATCCTTGATTCATCTTAATCATGATACTATTATAGAAACACATTTAGTCAAATTGGTGACAATATCAACAATATATTTAAGAACCTAAAACTTAGAGGAAATTGACTTTTAATCAAATATTGAAGAAAAGGGAAAAATGATCAATTATGAGAAAGAGATGAAATCATGAATTTGTAACTTCATGAAAAGGTCAATAAGAGTTTTAAGCCATTTAGAAGATGTTAGATGAGTAAGTTCAAGAGAAAGAATGCACAAGAATATGTATTGTTGGTTAAAAGGGTAAAATGGATATGTTGTGCTTTGTGGGCCAGGTTTATCACTTAATAGATTAAGACTCGTATTAACTCATTAAGATATGAATTAACAGAACAGTGGAGTACATTCCTGCTGGATTAGGTGTCTAAGCCCATAATTATATTTGGTATGTAGCTGACCCGGTTGTATCATGGTCATTTTTGGTTTCCTTCATCAAAGCAACTTGACTGGATGAATAATAAAGAAAGAGGTTATTATTGTTTATTAATATATTATATGAATTATATATTAAAAGAGAAATCATATTATTTAATTAACATTGGTCAAGAATTAATTTTGTGGTCAAAAGAGGTTAATTGAATTAAGGGGATTGAACTTGTAATTATAAGATAATTGCATAATGGGTTGAGGAACCCTTTGTAAAGGGCTGGACGAAATCTTATGGGAGCCCATAAGGATTTCATCCAAGGGCAAAGGTTCTGGAAGATTCTTCTTGGTTGCTTAGAGCCTAAGCAACCGGATGAGGTCTTTGACTAAAACCCTAATTCTTCAGCTATATAAGGACCCTTTTGGCATCATAAAACCGACCACTTGAACCCTAAGGATTATAGAGCCAGTTTTGAACCTTCCCCCTCTCTCTTGAAGATCATCTAATTGCTTTGGTGTTTGTGATTCATTAAAGGCATCACATTTGAGGTGCTAGGTTCTCGAAAGATCAAGATCATCAAACTACATTCAAAGGTAACATTCTTACTAGTTTATTTATGTTGATTTCAATTTTGATATGCTAGATCTAGGGTTTGAGAGCTTTGGAAGATTATTGCATGTACAATTAGAAAAACCTAGATCTAAAGCTTTAGGGTCTGCATGTGCACTATATGATTGGTGTTTTGCACATAACCCAATAGTGGTATCAAAGCCTAGGTCATTTTTCTTTTGTATTTGATGCATTGTTAAATTGTTCAAAGCTGAAAATCGAAAAATCTTGCCTCTGCCTGATGAACTTGTCGAGTCACCTGATGAACTCGACGCGTCAGGCAGTCTGATGGCTGATTTTTGGGATTTTGACTGAAATTGAATTAGGATAATTACCAAAAACGTTTTTGGTTGTTAAAATATGATTTTTTTTTTCAATAAGGTATGGATTATCCTAATACAATTCAAAGATAATTGTCATAAATAAGATAATTACTTGTTTTATATGATACATATTAATTATTTCAATGATATAGTTATATCTGTATGGCATTGGTATTTTGGGGGTAGCTCACTAAACCTTCGAGCTTACATTTATCAATTATTGTTTTAGGTACTTCTGATGATCGCAGGAAGGAAAAAGTGTGATCGTATAGCTCCTCAAATTTCATGATTTTATGATTTGATTCTAGGGTACACTGACATTATACTATTTTGAAAACAAGTTTTGTAATAATCATTGGTTTTGGAATGTTTTAAAAAGTTTAAATTTGGCATGATTTTCATGGATGTTACCATTGGATTTCGGAGAAAGTTTGGATACTTACATTCCACTGACCGAGTTCTCCTATAACAACATTTATCATGCCAGTATCGAACGACTGCTTTTCACGTTGTTGTATGGAAGAAGGTGCAGGACCCCGATTTGGTTGGGAGAGGTCGGACACCGGGTCATGGGGAGTATCGAGGTGGTACTCAAGACCACTGAGTTGATTCAATGGGTGCGCGACAGGTTATGAGTCACACAAAGTCGACAAAAGATTTATGCAGAAGAGTTATTCAGTTAGGAGACTTGGTGCTTACGAAGGTGTCACCTTGGAAAGGTGTTATCTGATTTTAGAAGCGAGGAAAGCTAGGCTCCAGATTCATTGGGCCTTTCATGATTCGGCCTGAGTAGGCGAGGTTCCATACCAGATGGATTTATCTGATGAGCTCAGCCAGATCCATAACACCTTCCACATGTCTTAGCTTCAGAAGTGTGTTGCCAATGAGTCCGCAGTTGTTCCTCTAGATGGCATTCAAGTTGATGACCGCCTGAATTATGTCAAGAGACAAGTGATAATCTTAGATCGGAAGATGAAGGCTCTGTGTAACAAACAAGTGTCACTAGCCAAGGTCCAGTGCCAACATCAGAAAGATTTTGAGGAGCCCTAAGCGGAAATGCGAGAGCACTACCCTGATTTGTTCGCGTCAGTAGACTTTGAGGATGAAGTCTAGTTCAAGTGGGGGAGATTTGTAACATCTAACTTTCCAGGTATTTTCTTCTAATCCTTGAGTTTTGAATTGTTTGCAAGATGGGTCCCCAATGGCAATTTCGTGATTTTGGGTGCAGCTTGGGTATGTTAGGCGTACACTTCGGTACGCTAGGCGTACCTATTCCCGTGCCAGTATGTTGCGTATACGCTAGTATGTAGGGTGTACGTGGTTTAGATATTTAAGGTTTTTGCACTATATAAGCACCATTATAGCCCCAAGACTTTTCCCTTTATCATCCTCCATCCCAAGATCGACCCTCCTTGCAAACCCTAATCTATTTTGAGCATTTTGAGCTTTTGGAGTGAGTTGTGGACTTTCTTGTTTGTGAAGAAAGGTCTTCAAGGAGTAGGCTTTGCTCTTTAGACTTTGGATCTAACATCTTCTCTTCATTGTGCACCATTTGGAGGTATAAATCTCCAACCTTGGCTCATATTGTTCTAGATCTTGGTTAAGCTTAGATTTTCTTCTCTTTTGTCCCAAAATCTAGGTCTTTATGGGTATAAGGTACTCAAAATCCTTTAAGTCGTCCTTTTATACATTCCAGAGCATTTTAGGTCATTAAAATGCAAGCATGGATCTTGGTTTATCCCAATGCAAGAGTTATAGTTTAAAAAAGGTTTGAGCAAGTTAGGTTTTTAATGTAGGGCTTCTTGTAGAAATGCAAAGGCATAAAGTTTGCAACTCTATGGCCTTAAGGATCTTATTAAGCTCAAATTTCAAATTTGAATGTATGGTCTTTAGGCATTAAGACCTTATTATGAGTTTTGCCTCAAGGGTACGTACATAGGGCATAATGCCCAATACGTTGTACATACTGCACCTCAGCCGCGATCCGTCCTCATTTGGTCGTGTATGTAGGGCGTACCAGTTGGTACGTGGGGATGTACGTCCCATACCCAACTTTTGGTCATTTTGGGCCTTGAATCATTGGACTTTTCTTGTTGGTCTTGGACTATATACTTTCATGGTAATGGGTCACTTTTAGATTTGGGCATGTTGGACTTTGGATAATCTTTAGGGTTGGGCCTAGTATTTTGTTTTGGGCTTAAATGATAAGGGTAAATTGGCCCTTTTACCTTGGATATTGGACAAATAAAGTAGAGTTTCAGCTATGGGTTATGTCCCAATTACTAATCGGGGATTTATTGTTTAGTCAGAGCGAGGATTTTTTTGGTCCAGTAGCCCATTGCTTGTTATGTACAATGTTAGATGCCTTGTGAGAATTATATGAAAGAATAATATTTGGCCCCTGACACTTGTATGCAAGACTTGGATTTGGCCCTCGACACTGAACGGAAAGACCATGGATTGGCCCAAGGCAGGAAATGATTATATGACTACGATTTGACCCATAGCATTTATTTTCTTTTATGTTTGGTATGTTGTATTTTGGGGGAACTCACTAGGCTTTATGCTTAAAATTTATGTTTATGGTTTCAAGTACTTACAGTTCAAAAGGGAAGGGCTCGGCGTGATGGCACAACATCCTCCCCTCATGATTTTACGCATTTGATATATGTGTACTCTGATGTTTTGGATATTATGACTTTGTGTTGATTATGAACAATTAATGAATGATTTGATAACCTTTTAAAAGAAATTTTTTATTACTGTTTTTGGGTCGTCATATATATATATATATATATATATATATATATATATATATATATATATACACACACACACACACTATAACACCCAGAATCTTGAAGAGCAATTGTAAGGAATGGATCACATTTTGGAGCAATGGACACGACATGTTGGAGGAACCAACACGACGTCTCTAGTTGAAGAAAAGTATGGTTCTCATTAAAGTCAACACGGCGTGTTGGTGTCTAAACGCGGCGTATTGGAAGCTGGGAAGGAAACCTAATGTTTAGGATGTTGCACCCTATATAATCTCTTTAAGCCGCAAGGGCTGGTCTCCTTACTAGCCTCAATTGACATTAAAACTCTAAAATCGGTCTTTAAGTCTCTTGTTTGTGTTCTTGAGCTAGTAAGAAGTTCTTGGTGCTCATTGTTGGTCTTTGTGAAGGAAAATGAGATCTTGAAGTTGTATCGATTGGGGAAAGGATTTACATCCAAAATCATCATCTTATGAGGAAGCTTTTTAAGGTATTAAGTTTACATCTTATCTTGTATGTGTTTATATCTCTTCTTTTTTGCTTTGTTGTGCTTTTTGTCCCTTTTGGGTTGAGGAGAGAGTGAAGACGTTTTAAGGGCTTATTATTCCATATATGTGTTTGTATTGGTCCCTTTGAGCATAAAGGTGCAAGTTTTATGAGATTTTAGGTGTCATGCATGCATTAAGTCAATTAGTAAGTCCCTTCTAAGCTTAAGAGCTTCATTTAGGCATGCATAAACATAAAGTTGGAAACTTTATGTGGTTTTCCAGCTCAAGGAAGTCAGATCTAGGTTTTAGGGTTATATCTTCAAGGACCAAGTGGTTATTGGTTAAGCCCTTGCATAATCAAGCTTTGTGGGTTGGGTTTTTGGACCTTTTGATAGTCGCTATGGGTAAAGATGGAAACTTTACCCTTCTAAGTCTCATTTTGGTGTATATCTAAGCTTTGGAGCTCTTGGAATCGGAGATAGTAGCTTAATGTATTAAGTTGTGGAAACTCGAGCAAACACGACATGTTTGCAAGCCAACATGTCTTGGTGGCTGGGGTTTTCCCAATTATCTGGATTATGGAAGAACACGACGTGTTTGCAAGTCAACATGGCATGTTTGGTCACCATGGATTGTTGACTTTGACTTTGACTAGAAGTTTGACCAGGGTTGACCATGGGATATATTGGGCCCTGGGTGTTTATTTGGAATTGGGCTTTTGGATTGTTGAATGGAGCCTTGGTTTTGGGCCAAGTTATGAAAAGGGTAAAAAGGTCTTCTACCCTGGTTTGGACACTTAGTGCGGGTCAGATCCGATTATTGATGGATGTTTAACTTGTGATTGATTACGTGGGGATTTGTCAAGCCAACAACCAGGAATTATCTGAATGATTCGACAGTGTGAGGTGATTTTTTTCAGTATGTTTAGTGGGTCGAAGGCACCAATGCCGGCCCATGGTTTGCAATGTAGGGTGCTAGATGTTTGTGTGGCTCTTGCATGCGTATGTGCTTGTATGCTTACTGGGCGGGGCCCAATGGTTATTCTGTATCTGGTTATACATATGCTTTGTATGTGGGCGGGGCCCAATGATTGTGCAGTATGTTATTATCTTTGTGATTTTTGCATGTCCGGATATTTATATGATTATATGGTTGTGTAAGCGTGGGCGAGGCCCGATATACGAGTGTGGGCGGGGCCCGTATCTCATTGGGCACGCTCATTATGCAAGTGTGGGCAAGGCCCGTTACACTCATTAGGCGGGGCACGTTGATTTACATATCCATATGCCAGAAGGGGTCCGATGTCGGGCAAGCCCGATGACCGGGCGGGGCCCATTATGTGATTATTTGTGTATGTATGGTATGTGGTATCTTTGAGAACTCACTAAGCTTTATGCTTACGGTTTTCAATTTATGTTTCTGGTACTTTGGTTTTCAAATGGAAGAGATCGGGATGATTGCAGAGCACACACCACATGTTTCTGCATTCTATTATTTACTCTGATTTGATGATGTTTTGATAAATCTTAGTTAACTTAGTTTTATGGAAATGTTAGGTATTAAAGATTTATTACTCTAAAAAAGAAAATTTTATGTCATTATTTTTGGGACGTTACACATGCTTGTCATTCGGATGTCTAAACCAAATTACTAGGAATATTTTACATATTATTCGATTTTGGTTTTTTCTCATACCTTTATTACCATTTTTTAGAACAAACTATCTCTCACGCATACACTTATATCTATTCATAAAATACTGCTTAAATCCATCTATTTGGCAAACATTGCATATATGATTGAGTTTATGAACCATTAGCAAACATGACCAAATAATTTTGCTATGCAAGATAGAAAGTTTTGATCAGGTTGTAGGTGCCCCTGAGGGTTCAATAAATTGGAAAAACTTCATAAGTATATCTTCAATATAAAATTCTAAAGGATCTTATTCGAACAAATTTTCAATTAAAAAAAAAGGTTTTGGAACCGCAAAAGTTTTCGATCAACAATGTATCATCTTTCACATCCCTAACATTTTTCTCTTCCACATCAAAGTCATATTAGTTTTTATCTCTCTTCTCTAACTATTGTTAATCATCTTTGAAACATGGAAATGTTCACCTTCCTCATCATTCCTATCCAACCAAAGTTTTTAGCATTGTCGCATGATTGAAACATTTTTAAGAACTTAAAAATAAAGGTGGAAGAGGAATAAGATTATATAAGACCGTGCGAATGGGTTGAAATGAATAAGATTTAGTGAGTGTTTAAACTTTTATAGAACCATTTATTATAAAACCCTAAAAAACTAGCGATAGTGACTTGGGAGGCAACTGTCCACTTGTTATTCGGTGCAGCCATGTCGTTGAGGCATTCGGTGCAAGATTTGAGCATACCACATTCTACGGGCGATGTTCCGATCGGCACCTCATTGCCCTCCTTCCACACCCTAAACCCTTATGTATATAAGTATAATATATATTTATGATTAAACGTAAATCCCGAATGGCTATAGAAGTTATTAACATTTCCCGCTTTCAAACTGTTTTCTCTCCGCTTTTTGGTCACCAACACTTATGTTAGTTAGTTTTATAAATAAAAACAACTATCACGTGATTAATATATTAAAAGCTTTACTTAATATTTTTAGATTTGTCTACCTTCCCTTTTTAAATAAAAAAATAAAATTTTTTGAAATGATGGAATAAAAATGTAATCGTTAAGCCTTAAAAATAGAAAACTAAACATGCATTTTGCCATAAAAATTGGATCGTATTATTCCCTTAAGTTTTAGCATTCTTGCATTACGCACTTGCAAGCAATGGTATTCAAAACTTAAGACTCCATTTAACACGTCCATGGATAAAATCGTTGGTGAGATAGATTGCAGGTATAGATTGTATTCAATCTTGATGAACCACCTGAGATCCGCCATGTTCAATGCACAAGAGAAGGCCCAGGATAGAGCCACAACTCAAATCGAGTGCTTGAACGAGAAATCCAAGTTTTACGATCTTGGTATCATCCAAATCGATGTCAGTTTTAAACTGATAAAAGAACAAGAACAAGAAGATCAAATCCCAGAAACCAATCAAAAAAAGATCCTTACAGATCTCATCGAGCTCAAAGATCTGTTTCTTAGTCGTCTTAACGATACGAAATGTTCCATAATCCAAAAAGATAAAGATAAGATAATGATGGAACAAATGAGCTCAGACCTCGACATGTTGAAAACAACACTCCACCGTGCATTTAAACAAATCCAGAAGTCTGAAGTTGACCCTTTGGAGAAACAATGGAGATTATTGATCGAGAAAGAAACAATTTTGATAGCCATCAAAGGGTATCTCCATGATATTAATGTAAAATTGAAATCATCGATCAAATTCCCGGTTTCCAAGAACCAGAAGCCGAATAAGATTGATGGTGTCGGGAAGAAAGACGTGATCATATCGAGACTGATGGAAGAAAGACACGAGTCGAAGCTACAAACAATGGCGATTGATGAACACTACATGGTTCTTGTAAACGAATGCTGTGATGAGTTTTTGTGTTATGAAATCGAGACAAAAGTTAAGGAAGACATGTTTGTATATATTTTACACGAAGTTACAAAGGATTGGACCGAGTATCAGGAAAATGAAAGCATCAAAACGCAATTGAAAGATGAAATATATGAAACTGTTTTTCTCGAGACCATAAACGATATACGGATCAAATTAGATTTCGAGTTGCAGAAGATTCAAAACAAGATTAACAAGTGTTGTATACAAAACGCAATCAGGTTGGAACAAATTACATTTTGAGTTGCGAAATATAGTATACTAGGTTCTATTCCTGAGGTGCTAGACACAGAAGTCTCTAATATATCATCATGAGATTATGATGCTTGTCGAATACCATGATAAATATGTTGAGTCGTTACTCTCTCCTTTTTCGAAAGTCTTTGAGATGAAATAAGATACTCCAAGTCTCTAATATATATTGAGGTGGATTCGACTGTGTTTAACCAATGTAAGCCTTCAAAGTTTCGATAATGAAATGAGGATTTGTGATTTCAGGTTGGAACACATTAAGCAACAAGTCAAATCGATCTTGGGGCCGGTGGCCTCGATCAAAAAAGAAGAGTTGGTATACAAGAAGGCCTTTGCGAGAAGATGTCAAAATCTTTTATTAGCCGAAACCGAGGTTCTAAACCATATGAGAATGCTAAGTGTTATACTAATTGTATGAAATTTATGAGATCATATTTAATGCAGATTTTTAGAAATTATTTGATTAATCATTTTAATGGCTGTGAAGGTCGATTTATTAGGAGATCAAGTTGAGGCACTTCAAGACCTACTTGGAAAGATTTACTATGTATTGGTGAAAAATTCTTCGGTTTTGTCGTATAATTGTGAGGTAGGTTTACAAAATATTATTATGAGAATGAAAGTATTACCTAGTTTGATGGATTATTATTTAAGTTATGTTTAAATCACGAGTCTAAAAGGTGTATGTTTTGATTCAGGTTATGGATATTTTGAAGTTGATTGAAAGAAAGTTGGGTTTTTGATATTCGGCCCAAATACTTTCAACTTGGACCCGGATTTAGTTTTTTCCAATATTTTGAGCTTTTGTGATTTCTATGTTGTTTCGTCTTCAATGTACAACGTGTAAAATTAAAATTGTCCGTCAATCACGTCTTATCATAGGGTTAATCGATTAATTTAGGCTTGAAATATTACTAATAAACAAAACGAATTATATTTCGAGTATTTTGGGTTCCGGTTTGGTATGTAATTTTTATTTATTTATTAGTTTATACTTTTTGTAAGGCTGAATTTTTATCAAGAAAAAAACTCTAGCATGAAACTAAAAAACTAAAAAAACACATCAAGAACAACGGATTTTGGAGTTATGAGATCCATATACACTTAAGTTAATTCATTTTATGCACTAAGAAAAACCGACTATATAGTCAAATAAAACATGTTTTTTTTGGACTTGTTTCTATAAAAAATCGTCGAATTTCTCAACTTTCAAATGCTCCACCAAGTAACCAAGATAATAACACGCAACATCAACTTTTTCAGACAGTTGAAATGATAATGTATTTCATTAAATTCTACAAGAAGAAAACGGGTCTATATATCGTATATCAACTCTACATGGGCTCAGGTTAGTTGCCCAATGGGCATCCATAAACCATTTTTTTATTGTTCTTTTTTTGTGGTATTTGTTCATTTGACCAAGATCCAATTTATTTTTAACGCAGACTGGAAACGGACCTTTGGTCCTTTAGGTGAGACTCAAGTACCCGGCTATTTCTTGAAGGTTATACCCGTTCTCATAAACAACGACAAACAAGTTATTCTGGTCTCCTGATTTCAATGGACAACTGGATGTGTCGAATAGGTGCACTTATTTCGAAAGTAACATATGCTAATGATGATAGTCTTTTTTGTTCAAGAGGACACTGTATCTAGAGTGCAGTAAGCCAGTAACCTGGTAAGCTTTTTTACACATGCACAGTACATTTGGTAGTAATGTTCCAGAATGGCCCAGTTGTTGTTAAAAGAAGTCTACGTCAACTTTAATTTATTTATTAGAAATAACACTAAACGTCATAACCACAGTACATTGTGTTTTAAGGAACAAAAAAGAAAAAGATCTGATAGGTTTGGTGGACATTCATGTGGTGTGGCAGGCTTATATGATGTCTGAGGATTATCAATTGATGGGGCTCTAGAGGTTGGGTTAAAAATATAGTACTTGTAGAATGTAGGTGAGTTTGGGAGGTAAAAGGTGTGTCATGTCAATTCTGCTAACATAACTCTTTGTCTTCTCAAAATCAATAACACATATTTCTTGTTGGGAATATTAGGGTTTGTAGTGGAGATCTCGATACCAGCTTGGATCGTGATATCACTTTCTGAACTGATATTTCTACCTTATGTCTGGGTTACAAGAAATTCAACCTAGGATAATTCAAGCGGACACTTACGTTTCTAGGCATAGAAAACGTAAGCTAATATGCTACTAATATGCTAAAGACTTCTATGAATGTGTGATGAAAAACGAGAGCTAAGAAAAGTCCCCCTTCTGGAAAGAAAGAGTTGTTTATATACTAAACACGATTAGGGTTTCATTAGGGTTGGGCCGTCATTAGTTGCTTTGGAAGCAAGTAATATTAATACGGATTAGGGTTACCAAAAACTAACGAGTTTCGTTAGTTTTACCATAATCACCCTTAAGAAATTGAGTTTTCCATTATGTTCCCACATGCAAAATTCGATGAGGTTTTGGGGCGCCAAGCGGGACCCCAGCCAGGGGCTCTGCCCCTTGGACCCCGCTAGGGGCGCTGCCTCTAGACCCCACCAAAGGGGCGCTGCTCCTTTGGAAACTGCGGACCCCCGACTAGTCGTCGAACCGGCTTCTGATTCGATCTTATACATGCGTGCACTCCGCATAACCCCCGTACATGTATTAGAGTACAAATCATGAAGCCCTTTAGCTTACATGTTAGTTCCAGTTACTTAAAATGATATGGTGACACTAAAATCATCAACATTTCTTTTACCACGCGTGATTTTATATACAGTGGTGTAGTCAAAATTTTAGTTTTGGGTAGGTCAAATAATATACAAAATATGAATGAGTGACAATTTTACAAACGATAACAAAATCTCTCTCTCTCTCTCTCGATATATATATATATATATATATATATATATATATATATATATATATATATATATATATATATATATAATTTACCTATATACGAGACGTTATTTTGGATGATAAGCCTATACACATCGTTATATATATGAGACCCATATTTAACAAGTTCATTATCTAAGTTTATGCCAAACTTTAAAGAATCTAAATGCAAAGTAACTTGCGAGTAATTTGGTTCGTTTATACTCCGAGTCCTTAGTCATGTTTAATAATAGGTTTCTTAATGAAAGATATGTTGGAATATGAGGATCTAAAACATGCAAATAGAAGCATTAAAAAACTTTGATCATCACATAGTGCCATGGATCCATGTTCAACGAATTACAAGCAATAAAAACTAATCTACACTTAGGGTTTAATGGAATACCTTCCAAGTATGAATTTTAAGATCACACTTATGGGTTCCGCTATTGTTTCACACCCTAATGTAGCAATCCATGCCAATAGCTTTAGAATCTTCTTAACTATGCGTTGCTAATGTCGACCACAAGAGAAAGTGATCAATGTGTCGATTTCTTGTTGACAGAGAAAGTCCAAACCCTACCTATAGCAGATAGGTTTCGGCCAAAGGTAAGAGGGAGGGAGGAGAGAGAGTATGAATGTGGCAGTATATAGGGGAGAGATGTAAAAAATGAAGCTTTATACATGCTCTAGCTCAATAATTTTTTTGGAAATATTGTCCAAGGTTATTAATTGTTTGACAATATTTATAATAATAGTATGGTCCTTTTGAGTCGGCTTCATAACATAATTAATAATAACAAAATAGAGAAAAATAAGTTATTAATTCATTAAGAAATTAATAAATTAATTGGAAATTATTTTTGGAATTAATTAAATAGTTTAACTAATAAAAGGACTTGAATATTAACTAAATCCTAGAGATTAATTGGAATATTCCAGAAGCTCTTTGAAGAATGGTAGGGGTTGTTTTCATGTCCTTGGATAGGGATAAGACATGTTTTGAATAAGGTAATGATTATCGTGGCGAATTTAAATTGCTTAAAGATTTATCTCCTGCCTATAAATAGACCATTAGGGATCAAACCCTAGCTGTCGATTCTTTCTGTAACCTGTCCACCCTCTCTCCTATTATTGTAAATTTTAGCCTCTCTCCTAGGGTAAGTGATTTTGAATAAACCTCCAAAGGGTTGTTGCTTATTAGCTTTTTGGGATTTTGGGTCTAACTACATTAAATGGATTCTCCATTAGGTCTTTTATTCATTGCAAGATTTGACAGTTACAATGTTTCAATCGAAGCAACAAGAGGTTAGTGTTTTAGCATGTCTTTAGTTTGATTTAGAGTAGGTTGTTATAACTAGTAAAATCTGGATCCTAGGGTGCATATACACATAGGTATTTTGTTTTGTTTTGGTTGCCTTAATCATGTGTATAGATACTGAGAGTTTCATTTTATTTACTTCTTTTTATAGTTTATTTTGCTTTTTTTTTTCATTCATAGTTTAGCTAATTTTTATGTGTATTTTCCTTTTTGTTATTTTATGTCATTTTGGGTACATTCTAGTTTCATGAGAATAATTGTATATTTTAAGGAGACTAGCGGATCGGGATCTTTAGGATGCAATTGGACTTGGAGGACAACAAGGATTTTGGGCTTGATAGCTATGGAGATGATTCATGGAGTGGGCTTGTTGAGTATTTGAAGGCTTGGTGGAAATGAACTTTAAATTTGCAAGAAATGGAAGAATATTCAAACGTGCAAAGCTTATGGATCGGGTGATTATGTGACCTATGAATCATTTGGGGGAGCCAAATTCGGCTTAAAATAAAGAGAAATTGAAGAAAAATGGGCTACAAGTTGATTGGACTCAAATTGGGCCAGTTGACTAAAGCAGTGTAGGCCCAACAAATGGAAATGGCCCATTCTCAGTCAGTTCATGCGGCCTGCACAAGAGTAAATAATACATAACTTACATTATCTAATTGTACTAATGGCATAAAACTCCCCGAACCTTTCAGTGAATTGTACCTTTGTATCGCTACCTATGATACAAAAAAAACTAAGTGGGTCATGTTGTGAAACCTAGTGACTACATAGGGATTTCAATCCCATAATGTTATAATATATATATATATATATATATATATGTGTGTGTGTGTGTGTGTGTGTGTGTGTTTCCAACTTAAATATCTATAAACTTGCATACCTAAACTTACCCACCCCAATCAATCCTCAAAGATCCTAGTCTACAATTATCAGGAAGGACTATCTTACCTAATAAATCATTTAGAATAATCAAGAGATTATTATCTGGAAGATGAGTAAACATACTTTTCTAGTTGCCCGATCTAGACCCACCATTTATGGTCATCCAAAGGATTATGCTGACATACCATTACAGTTGCCTAATCTGGGTCCACCATTTATGGTCACCCAAAGGTACAATAGACATACCATTAGAGTTGTCTGATTTGGACCCACCATTCCTGGTCATCCAAAAATGAATACGATTTATACTCCGATACGTATTTTGTAGCATCAACACTGGAACGTGTCATGGAGCAGAATTCTACTCTTCGTTCCTAGACTACATACGTATATCCCGAATGAGACTACCCGATATCAAAATTAATTGAACTAGGTATGTATAATAAGTTGTATCTTTATTAACAGGAATAACTACTAAACTCCTAATACGAACTCGGTCTAGAAAACACTATCCTATCTTAGTGTATATATTTAGCACAGAGTATTTTAGGCATTATAATACTTTTATTATTTTCCCTAATAATATTTCTATTATCGTTATTATATAATAATAGACATATATAGACCCATATATGGTTCGCATATCGTATATCCTCAAATACACTTGTAACAGATAACTAGGCAATGAGCATATAACTCATATATAAAATTTGTAATAGATATTTAATACTTTAATTAATACTTATATTAAAATCATGTTCATGAAAGCGACTATGTACTCACTTGAGATAGGTGGGCGATTGATGATCTAGGCAGAGTTT